ACAAGTTCGAGGTTAGATCTAGCTTCGTTCGCGTGTTGTCAATCACGACTATCTATGAGCTCTGTCATGTCGCTCCTTATGTCTTATATATATATATATATATATATATATATATATATATATATATATATATATATATATCAGTCTGCGTTCACACGATCTCGTTCCCTTTTGCCGCGTACAGTGTACTCCCGATTGAATCTCCCACATTCACGTCATTTGCTCATAACTACGCGATGATAATTTCGTTCAACCAGTTGAATAGCTTCTCTTCAACCAGGAAAACGGACGCGACCCTGATCGAGGTGACGCGTACATGCGCATCAATCGATCCTAGATCCTCCGGCGCATACAACAGACATATCGTGTAAGGGCGTGCCGCTTACTCACCTAGCCACGCGTGCAGAAAATTCCCGTACAAGGCGACGAATATACTCGGTGTGTCTTTTCACCCGTTATATTCGCCACGGGTCTTAATATGTGTCTCTACATAGATTCATTTTTTTACATTTAATGTTACCCCGCCTCTTCGATGCGATTTCTAACTTTGTGTGTAAAAGAATTCTTTTGACAATCATTTTTAGACATTCGAGATCTCTCTTGGATCTAATAGAATGTAAACAATATTCTTCTCTTTCTTCTAGTAATCATTCGTCAAATCACGTTGCGCATAATTGTAAAATTATTTTCCATATTGTATCTGGAAATATTGGTATGTATCGGAACGTTAAATCTTTGAATAGCAGTAACAAAACATATATGCAATATATCCGCATTCGATCGAGACACACGATACTGATTACTAATAGGATAAGGAACGCGCGTATCTATGTAATAGAAATATCTATTCGGTCAGTAGCCACACGACACGCGCGCGCGCGCGGGAGAAGAAAAAGAGAGAAAGAAAGAGAGAGACAGAGAGACCTGCCAACGTGACTATAATAAACGATCGCTTCCTTCTGCACGATGCCGTTCAGTGCTCGCGCGAAGCGACCAAGTACTTCCGTCGATCGTAATCATCACGCCACATACACACAGAGAGTAAAAAATAATTTCAATAATTTTTATAATAACGATAAATAACGAAACACAATTGTAACCACGTTATGTACAATGTTATACATGGATACGATCTCTCGAGAAAATCGAAAAGAGAAAATACGTGCGTGGGAGTTTCAAGTTTTCGAAATTCAATCGTGCCAACGTTAAAAGTTGCGCGGGGAAACATCGCTAAATGGGTTCCTTTCGTATAGCGCGTTCGTATAAGCGCGTCGTGTGTGCGCCGAATCAAATTCAATAGGAGCAGACGATACACACTGTCTGCGCGTATGTATGTGCGTACGCGCGCGCGATAGGACCTGCACTTCACGGCTCGTTCCCATCGGTGCCAAGGTTGCACCACGTCGTACCCGTGTGCATTAGCCCGAGTATCCGAGGCTGCCTCGAGTCGCTGTGCGTGTGGAACTCGCGTGACGCTTAGCTCTCTTCGAGCTTATCACGGCACCGTGGAGCGCGTGTATGCGTGCACGCATACAGTCGCGCGCGCGCGCGCGCCTACGTAAACACATGTATGCGACGGACGGTGCAAGCAGGGGTCTAGGCTAAGCAAACGCAGAATTTACACAGAGAAAGAGCGGCAGAGGCGAGTGTAATTCCCCGTAAGAATCGTACCTATCTATATGTATCATCTGGCGGCAAGCATTGCGCAAGCCTGGTTGCTTGGATTCACGCATCTTCAAACGCAAAATTAGCGACTTTGCTGAAACTGAATATTAATTGCGAACAATCCAAAATTATAACTTCTTACTATGCAAAAAATAGTATAAAGGAAAAAAAAAAAAAAACAATAGCACAATGCGACTTTGCGCGGTATAGTGCTAAATTAATACACGATACTATTTCGTTCATTAACATTAATGTTCATTAATATAACATAATACTCGCACCGCATTAATACGCGTACACAAATGCAAATTAACGTATGTCATGAACATCACGTGAACGGAACTATGCGTTATCTAAAAATATTGAATTATGAATGAAATAATTATATTGTGCATAGACGACGACGACCCTTCTTGCGCGGATTAACTTGGACATATTATTCTTGAAATAATACGTACTAATTATTACACCGTAATGTAAAGTAACAGACGCGATAAACGCGACAGCGCAAATACTCGGTGAATCCTTCGTTTCATTCTCTGCTCTAAGACGACACTCCACTGCAACTAGCCGCAAAGATGCCATCGTCATCTTTGCAAACGCAATCATCGTATCGAAATTGTGCAGCCGCATTTGTAGGCGGCTACCGTAACACGATAAATGGTCAATGGCGTCCGATCTCCGTCGTCCGTGTCGTCCAATCTCGTAAAGCAACCGATCGCTTAAATATCGTCTGCAATTAGCGGTGGATTGATTGGAAAAATCGTCGACTGTAATATTGAAGTATCTTCGGGGAGCGACGATACTAAAAGATCGATACTTAAGACTTTCGTCTTAATGTTTATCCTTGGGATGAGACGGTCAATTTTCTTTTTTTTCTAAGAATTTGAAATCGGGGGAGGAAATGATGGTTACGAAATCGAAAAGAAAATGGAGCATTTATGAGCGACAATTTAACGCATGTGATTGATCGATACGATCCGTGCGATACAATACGACGAAGAGCGATGCGCAGATTGACCGCGGATATCTCATACGGTCCGCGTATCGCATTTTTATCACCGGTGTGAAAAGTCGGCGGGCGCATAAGACGATAACGGAGCGGCATCTTATCGGTAACCCATCATACAAAGGCGCAGCCTTGCGCGTAGCCAATTTTATTCCAGTCAACAAACACCGTGCGCGGCCGTTAAGATGCACATGGCTGTCAGTTCGATGATCGATCGAGTCCGTGACCATGAATTTTTTTTGCCGTCTGGATTATCTCATGTTTGCACTGTATCATACAATTCAGTTGAATTTCGACGGCATTGTCGCGACACACCCGCCGCGCGGTTATAATAAAGCGAGCGAGCAATTCAATAATAAGTTCTCTCTATCGATCTGCCACTAAATATGCTGATACAGAGTGGTCGCGTTATCGCAGAAAGCAGACTAGTGGATTTCGTCGCAGCATTGACTTGGTCAGTTTCCGATTCTAGCTGGCGATATCAATACTTTTCGCGACATGACGCGTGCATTCGATGTTTATGTTTCTATGGAAAGTTTTCGCGTTTTGCGAAAAGATGAATGTGTTGTGTACAGAGAGAAAGAGAGAATAAGCGTGTGGTTTCGATGCAATAGGGACATGTGTGATAAGATTCGAAAACGCTCGTAAATTGCGTCCAGGGGCGTTGATAACGAGACGCGTGACCTTCTGTCCGCGCTCGCAGCGCGGTGTGTTTGCGCGTAAAACCCGCTCTGAGCCCGCTTTTAGAGCCAGCGACTGATAACGAGCGCGCCGGTTCCCTGGTTGGCTAGTTGGTTGGCTGGTTTGCTGGCTGACTGGCTCGCTGACTCTCTCTCTCTCTCTCTCTCTCTCTCTCTCTCTCTCTCGTTCGCTCGCTCGTTCGTCGCCGCCGCCGCAAATTGCGCCATTCACGTCTCAATAGCCGACCTTCACCCCGTGTATTTAGCATCTACATACGATGCATGTACGCGACGTCGACTGTGCGCGCGTATCGGTCGCCTACAGGACGGCCTATCGCACAAACTGGGTGACTCACTTGGTGGGCGCATGTCGCGACGGTTACGACGACGCTAGCAAGAGAGAGCGATATACATAGTAATTTAAGAGCAACGCGTTATTATCAGTAAACAACGCAAACGTACCCTTCTCACGATATCACTTTTAATCATACAGAACGAACTTTAAGGACGGTTTTTTGGGAATGAAAAAAGACTTTTCGCAATGCAAGTTGCATCTTTTGCAAGAGGCGGGACAAAATCTTTTGCAAGTCCGTCATAGAAATGCGAATTTCGCGAAACAAGACAGGATGTAATTAATCGGTTAGTCCTTCATGTGACCCTTCATGTGGTACAGTGAAGAATAACACGCACGTAGAGCGGAGTGCCACATCGCGGCTGGTGTAGAGTAAAACCAAACCTTGAAAATCGTGCTAATCAATGGTCTAGTATTGCCATGCTAATTGTCATTCGTGTTTCACACAAGTCTCCGTCTTTCGTTTAGGATACTCTTTCAATTTACAGGCGCGCTATGTTACTAACAAGTAATAATATAACCGTTAATTAGCATAGGCACAATCGCCCAAAGAAGGCGTTCGACGCATCTAATGTACTTATTATAAGGCTTGTTAATGTTGGCCGAAGCAACATTAGCCCACTTTCTTAATCGTAGAAATGTCATTTGTATACGAAAGGCAAGACAACAATCGTGCATGAGTCGTCAATAAAACGCGCAAAATTATTTTCACGATCGAAATTGCTCGCGAGATGAACACTACGCGGCTGAATTATATGCATCAATGATCTCTAATAAGAAACGCACTGTGTCGTCTAAGGCTGCATAGTTGCTTTGCACATTCGCGTAATTACATGTGGGATTAATATGCTAATGAGTTTCGAGTATTCATCAAAATTTGCCTGTTTGTTCTGCTGTGTAATGAACAAAATAATAATTTCAGATGTAATTTGAAATAAAAAATTACAATAACGTAATGTAATTCCCAACACATTTTACGAGCAAAAGAAATTACATACATTTTACAAGCTCTCGCAACTATCAATCGAACACAAAATGATCGCGGGCTAAACCATATTCCGAGATTCTTGATTGATTAAATTTTTTGGATCGATTCTCATGTAGCAACGATTCAGACATAAAAAATTTCCGATGAAATTGATCTCTGTCGTTGTCCATCGATCCGAATGGGTCGATGACTCTGTGAATCGTTTCGACCGCGAAACGCGTTTGTAAGTGAACAAACTTGATCTCTCGTCGAGTTCGCCTCAGCGATCAATGCGCAATTACGAAGGATAAATGTGGATATACGTACATGTGTTGCCGCGTGCCCAATGCTGGGCCTGAGTCCCCTGGATGATGGCCGTCACCGACATCATCGGTTTCTCCTTCTTCATCATCTTGCTCGGCTTGCCCGTTCTACTTTCACTCGTCACCGTGAACCGATTTTTTATTCCAAGACACACACACACTCTCTCTCTCTCTCTCTCTCTCTCTCTCTCGCCAGTTCTTCTTCCTCCCCTTCACACCCAGCGACGTACCAACCACCCCGTTGTGCTTTTCCTTCTCCTCTCTTGCCACTCACACTCTTTATACTGTTTCTTTTACTTAAGCGGAACTCCTTACTTAAGCCCCGTCCTCTCGTCGCGTCATTTCACGAGAGTTCTCTACTGTCCACCTCTCTCGTTCTTCTCCACCTGCCGTTTGTTCTGCTCGAGCTTAGAACTCCTTCTTTTGGTAATCAATTTGGTATGGTTGCTCACACACTGCACTTCTTTGGTACGTTTGTGATCGACCGACTATTTAACTATTCTACAGTAAAAAAGAAGAGTGGTATTTCAAAAGCGGAAAAGTGGCAAACGCGAGAACCAATACCAATATATTTTACGGAATTGTACGGAATCGCGATCTCGAATCCCATGACGTTTACCGACAAACAGTTCGTAAACATGTACATCCTGTGTCAAACGGCTCGGCAGAAGAAAGCAATGAATTGTTAAATGAGACTTTCAATTATCAAAAACGCGCCAATTAAACGATAATCCAATTAAATAATAGGAAAAAAGGCTAATTCGAGTTCAAGCACAGGATTAATAGTGCTATGTACCATATGGATAAAACCTTCCTTGTATTAGGAAATAGAGCAATATTTATTGAACATGAATACTCAATATAAATAATCAAACGTTTCGGCTCAATCATGAACCCTTTTCAGTGATATAAAAAAACTCAAGGTTTACAAAACGAACGCATTACAAGTAAAAGAATTAATTAAAGACCTTAATAAAATGACATGAATGTTATTCGCAGTATTATAGCTAACAAGACCGTTACCCGACTAATATTAAGAAGTTCAAATTAATACTAGAAAGTAGCCGTCATAACTATAAAAAAAAACCATAAAATAAAATAAAAATAGGTAAGATTAAAATATAATAAATAATTAAAACGGTCAATATAAATTACCTTTGTTGAGCTCGGCTAAAAGTGAAACGATCCTGTCAACGATAACATCGCCACGTCTAAGTAATAGAGATAATAACAGATTTATATATACGAACATTAACATTGCGGCGACGACTCGTGGAAGAGAAGGAAACAGAGTTTTATTTTCATAATAAGCCGCAGTAGCCGTTGCCCAAGTATTTTGTGTCCTTTTGAGAGTTAAGTCCATGCTTTTGAAATTTAATGTAAATCATTTCTGATATCAGGCGTTTCAAGTAATAACGTTCCTCATGCAAAACTTTGGCTTGATCCCAATTGAAATCATGGTTTTTTCTCAAACGATGTTCCTGCATGGCCGTTAACTCAACTGTAGAACTCCTTGGTATTCTCCTATGCTCAGCAATAGAGAGTCTTCTACTATACATACGACGCCTCACAACTACTGCATTGCAATTTATAGACAACGTTATT